TGTAGCTACGCAGCCCCATATGCCAAGTATAGTGTGAATCACTGTGTTTTGTGACACATTCCTCCCATAACCATCATTAAAATTGTGTGCGACTTGTGCCACAGTAGACCTTCTGTTGGCTCGGACCAGACTGGATAGCATTCGTTGCCCTCATGCATCGATGAGCCTTGGGCACCCAACACCCTGTTGCCGGTTTGTGGTTTGTCCCTCCTCAGACCCCTGTTGGAGCATTCTCACCAATGCTGACTGGGATTAACCCACAAGCCTTGCCGTTTCAGAGACACTCTGACCCAGTCGCCTTGCCATAACAATTTGGCTCTTGTCAAAGTCGATCTTTATTGCTGCCCATTTCTCCTGCATCCAACACATTGATTATTAGAAATGATGGTTTGCTTACCATCTAATCTATGTGGCCTTGTTAGGAGATGATCATATTCGCATTTTTATATAATTTATAGAAATTCCACACATAAATGTTACACAATAGGGGCATTTAGAGACGAATAGCATATCTAAATGTCGCTACTACTGTGAAAATGATGTGCAGAATTTCTGATATAAAATTATAAAACATATTATACATTTAGTAAAATGTGTATTTAAAAGAGAGAGAAACACATGTGGTTGTGAACATTGCATGCAGGAAAAAAGAGATTTATTACACCATAGAATAATGCCATAATGGCCATTATCAACACTTAAAAAAAATCTGTATATTTGCTTTACATTTGTACAGAGCCTGCGGCATTTCTTAAACTAATTAGTTTGAAATATATTTAGATTTTCTAAAACATTTTGACCTCCTTTTTTTAAATAAAACAGTAATAATAAAGGCATATGTAACAATTGGTTCGTTATAAAAGTATATATATTAGGGCTGTCAAACGATTAATCGCGATTAATCGCATCCAAAATAAAAGTTTGTGTTTACATAATATACACTCACCGGCCACTTTATTAGGTACCCCATGCTAGTAACGGGTTGGACCCCCTTTTGCCTTCAGAACTGCCTCAATTCTTCGTGGCATAGATTCAACAAGGTGCTGGAAGCATTCCTCAGGGAGTTTGGTCCATATTGACATGATGGCATCACACAGTTGCCGCAGATTTGTCGGCTGCACATCCATGATGCGAATCTCCCGTTCCACCACATCCCAAAGATGCTCTATTGGGTTGAGATCTGGTGACTGTGGAGGCCATTTTAGTACAGTGAACTCATTGTCATGTTCAAGAAACCAATTTGAAATGATTAGAGCTTTGTGACATGGTGGAAGTAGCCATCAGAGGATGGGTAAATGGTGGCCATAAAGGGATGGACATGGTCAGAAACAATGCTCAGGTCAACATGACATCATGACTTTGCGTAAACATACACGCCACTTTCAATTCAAGTGGCGTGTTATCTATACGCATTTTGAGCTATCCGCGTGTATGTCCACGCCGAAATCTTTTGCGTGTATGTCTACGCCATTAAATGTCCGAGTGATTCCGCGTGTATGTGTACGCCGTTAAATGTCCGAGCGAAACGAAGCAAAATCTATATCTACATCTGTGGAGCGATATTTCTTTTCCTAGGATGGTAGGAGAAGACTCATAAATGGTATTAACCCCAGTGACGGGTAGGTTTAGGGACGGGGTTGGGGTAGGTCATATATTTATATATACATAATACAGTAATATAACGTTAAGTCAAAGGCGTTGATAAACACGCTGAAAAGCGATTATGCGTGTTGATAGCACGCCAAAAATGGAAATACGAATTGGCGTGTCATACATACGCCATTTCATGAGATCAGTCTGCTCAGGTAGGCCGTGGCATTTAAACGATGCCCAATTGGCACTAAGGGGCCTAAAGTGTGCCAGGAAAACATCCCCCACACCATTACACCACCACCACCAGCCTGCACAGTGGTAACAAGGCATAATGGTTCCATGTTCTCATTCTGTTTACGCCAAATTCTGACTCTAACATCTGAATGTCTCAACAGAAATCGAGACTCATCAGACCAGGCAACATTTTTCCAGTCTTCAACTGTTCAATTTTGGTGAGCTCTTGCAAATTGTAGCCTCTTTTTCCTATTTGTAGTGGAGATGAGTGGTACCCGGTGGGGTCTTCTGCTGTTGTAGCCCATCCGCCTCAAGGTTGTGCGTGTTGTGGCTTCACAAATGCTTTGCTGCATACCTCGGTTGTAACGAGTGGTTATTTCAGTCACTGTTGCCCTTCTATCAGCTCGAACCAGTCTGGCCATTCTCCTCTGACCTCTGGCATCAACAAGGCATTTCCGCCCACAGAACTGCCGCTCACTGGATGTTTTTTCTTTTTCGGACCATTCTCTGTAAACCCTAGAGATGGTTGTGCGTGAAAATCCCAGTAGATTAGCAGTTTCTGAAATACTCAGACCAGCCCTTCTGGCACCAACAATCATGCCACGTTCAAAGTCACTCAAATCAACTTTCTTCCCCATACTGATGCTCGGTTTGAACTGCAGGAGATTGTCTTGACCATGTCTACATGCCTAAATGCACTGAGTTGCCGCCATGTGATTGGCTGCTTAGAAATTAAGTGTTAACGAGCAGTTGGACAGGTGTACCTAATAAAGTGGCCGGTGAGTGTATGTGTGTGTAGTGTGTATAATTATTTTGTATATATAAATACACACACATGCATGTATATATTTAAGAAAAATGTGTTATTAATATATAAAATATTTATATTTATATCTAATATTAATTATGTATAAATATATATAAAATATATACATGCAAATATTTCTTAAATATATACATGCATGTGTGTGTATTTATATATACAAAATTATTATACACACTACACACACATATATTATGTAAACACAAACTTTTATTTTGGATGCGATTAATCGCGATTAATCATTTGACAGCCCTAATATATATATAACATTCTAATACTATTTCTTTTTAATTAGCTGCTAAGGTTTCTGTGTGGTGGTGTCATGTGGTATGACGCCTGACAAATGTCTGATTCATTTGAACGAATCGGTTCGGTTCAGTAAACCATTTTAAAAAACTGATTCACCAATTCCTTTGAATCATCACGTTCATCAGTAACAGGTTCACTGTAAAAAGTGTTTAGTTGACTTAACTTAAAAAAAGTGAGGAAACCCGTTGCCTTAAAATGATTAATTAATAAACTTCATGCGTACTAATTGAAAAAAAAAAAAAGTTTTGTGAACTCGACAACTCCACATAACTTAATTTTTTCAATTACAAGGCAATGAGTTTCTTCACTTTTTTAAGTTGTCAACTGATCACTTTTTACAGTGTATTCAGGGCTGAACATTTTTACGTAGCCTACATGAAATCTTCGAGGTTTGATTTGATTTCTTGTAAACGCTGTCTAATAATGATTTCTAGCAGAGACATTTATTGAGCTGTATTTGATCTGAAAATGTGTAATTAAAGGTGCTCTATGTAACCTTTCTACTAAAATGAATCCTTTTTTTATTGCCTGTGTGTGAAGGGGTTGTAATCACACATTAAAATGATCCACTTGTCGAGTTTTGCTATTACCTCTGAAGGCCAGTATTCCTATTTCTATGTGAAGTCTCCGGGTCGGATTTACTGCGAAATCCAACGGATGTGACGTGCATGCGCGCTCCCGAGCCTCTCTCCTTATATACAGTCTATTGTAAACGGTCAGGGAGTTACGTCCGGTTAAAGGCGCATGTTTTTCGGCTTATATCTCAGTCAATCTTTGATCAATATTCCCAAGACTCTAATCGTTCGTAGTGCTGGACGGGGCCTTTCGAACGAGCCCACCCCCGAGGTCCAACTCGCCCGGCTCCCCGAGTTATAGCCGTTCGAAATCGGGGGTCCCAGCGAGCGGCGATCCGGTAGGGGGCATCCCCGAGGCCCGCCACTCTAGCGTTCGGGCAAGGGTTCCCCTGGGACCTCCTCCCCCGAATTTGAGCTCTCTGGGTCTTTGCGTTCCAGAGATACGAGCGATTTTCTTCTGAGATCGTAACGTCACCGGCGTCCGCAATTTTGCAGCGCGCCCGATGGTTTTCTGCTAATATCTACGCGAAAACACCACCAAAAACTATGGAACTTATATGGTTCTTTTCAGCTCGACTAGATGGTCCCAACGAGCTCGGTGCTCGCCGAATCCGTCTAGTATTCGCCGAGATATTTGCGTAATAGACGGTATTGTCTATGAGTTCGAGCACGAGCGCTCTTCTAAAATTTGGTTGCAATCTGAAACATCACCACTAGAGGCCGCTAAAAGTTACATAGAGCACCTTTAAATATTAACCAAAATCTACTTTTTGTTTTGACATTTTTTTTGTTCATTTATTTGTTCTTCACCTGTTGTTAATAAACATTTTATTATCTGTCCCAAATAAATCCAATTGATTTTATGGCTGACTTGACAGTCTAAACACAGAATTAAAAAAAGTAATATTATGTTGTAAATATTTTTAAAATGATTGAGATTACATAGGCTGCATGTAATAATTGAGCTTAATTGATTAACATGTTAACTGTTAACATATTTATTTAGTAAAATCTTTTTCTCACTCAATGGAACCTTTTCTCAGACTGTGATGACTTGTTTTAAACCACTTGTTTCATCAGCGTTGTAAATCCTGCAAAGTTATATGTACATTTATAACACTATATTGCCTTTGCATCAAATTACAAAAAACTAAAATAATTGAACGTTTTTCTTTTGCTATTTGAGCACATTGGTACACAACAATATATTTAATGTAGTCTCTCATTCACCGCTAGAGAAATTGCTGTCTTAAATTAAGTACAATTCAAACTAACAAAACTCTGACACTAATTACTAATGATGACTCAATAATTCAAATCAACTGATTCGCAAATCAGTTCAACTGAATTAAATGAACCGGATCATATTCATGATTCGCGAATCACACTAGCTGTCACTTCCTGTAGCACCGCCTCAAACAAAACAAGCAACTTAGTTTCCCATACAACCTGGAGAGAAGGCCGCAGTGGACATATAAAACACTTTTATAATAATTGCGTGTCTATAATCGAGGAATCGTGTGTTTTAACACAAATACTGGAGCTGTGAGCTGGTAATTACGGCTATTATGGCGTCCAGCTACAACGCGAAAGAGGAAGACGGTCATCTCTCCGGATCCGCGGGGCTCGGCGGAACCGCCATCCGGACCAGAAAGCCCGACAACACCGCCTTCAAACAGCAGCGCTTGCCGGCCTGGCAGCCCATCTTGACCGCGGGGACCGTGTTGCCCGCTTTCTTCGTCATCGGCCTCATCTTCATTCCCATAGGAATCGGCCTCTTCGTGACGTCCAACAACATCAGAGAGATCGAGGTTTGAGCCTGTTGCAGTGTGTTTAGTGTAATTTTACTAACAAACACACAGCTAATAGACGTGTACTGTTCACTCGGACGTCATGAGGTCTATGTAACCGCGTGTTAAGCATGTTTCTCTGGTTTACAGATTGAATATACTGGGACTGACATGTCCAGCCCGTGTTTTAACTGCTCTCAAAGCTTCAGCTGGAACAGCACGACTCCATGCAAATGTGTCCTGTCCTTTTCTCTCGACCAGCCTTTCGAGGTGAGTGAGTGTTTATGACCTGCCCATTATGCGGCATTCCTTTTCAAGGGATGGTTTAGCCAAAGTAAACGTTTTGCCATTTACTCACTCTCAATGTTACTCCAACTCCATGTGACTTAACCCCTTAAAGCCTGACATATGAAACAACAGTCAGAAAAAACCCAGAGGTGTAAACATTACCTGAAAACTGAAAATAACTCATAAACCAACCCCTGACTGGGACATAAACGTGCATTAAAGTTGAAGAAGGGCCTATGCTAATTTTTTCCCCACACAATAAAACTTTTTAGTGGCCATTTAATGTCGAAGTGTTAAAAGGACAAACAAACACATGATGATTTGTGCACTATATTCGTGTTCTGAAGCCTTCTGCCATCTTCTACCTCTCATGTCTCAAATCATTTGAGCTTTTGCATAATCAAACTTGGCTATTTTTAACTTGTGTGTACAATGTTTCTGGTGTCAGCTGCTTCCAGTGTTTTTTAGCTGCACAAAAACAGTTTGTTATGCTACTTGATATTGCAAACTGTTATTTATTACCATTTGATTTATTATAGTAATCATAAACACTCTGGTTTTTAGCGCAAATAGTTAAACCGTTGACTACACTGTTATTCTTTTAGTTATTTACTTATTGCAGCTAATAAATTGGAGGTCTCTCACACTTTGATAGGTATTGAATTATCATATACATTGCTACATGGTATTGTTTATTATGTAGAAACATGATAGTACCATAGTACTTTTTGTTAGTAGTTTCATCATTCACTTTTAGCTGTACTATGAGGAAACGAAAGGCCTTGGTTTTCCTGACTGATAACATCTGACATGCATAAGGTTCTCAGTTTAGTTATTTATGGTCAGACAGAAGATGTTATATATAGAAGATGTTTTCCTGGTGGGTTAATTGATGAGCTTTCACAACAATGCCAGTTCACGACTGTAACTTTCTGTCCTCAGAGTAATGTCTTCATGTACTATGGCCTCTCAAATTTCTACCAAAACCATAGACGGTATGTGAAGTCCAGAGATGACAGCCAACTCAATGGGGACCTTAACTCACTTAAGGTATTGCATCTATCTGTCTATCTGTCTATCTATCTATCTATCTGTCTGTCTGTCTGTCTGATTATCACTCTCACTGCATGAATGTATCTTACGAAACTGATTTCGGACATACTGGCAGCGTAGAGCTTTGGTGATAGCAAATATTTAGTTGCTACGATACTAAGTTCTAGGGGTGCAACGATATTTGAACCGAACCGAAAAACCGCGATACACCACCCACGATACGTATCGCGATACTCTCATGGCGAACCGAACACGCCCGCCCCCTGCTGCCCCGCCCAGCCCCGGCTCATTGCACCTCATGTGTTATGTGTACACAACGAATACAGGGCTGTTGCCTAACCACCATTAACCACATATAATCGCGATAAGCTCAGTGTTTTGTTACTTTTGACAATAAGCAAGGTGTAATCTTTCAAATTATGTCTATTTGATCACGAAATGCAAACAATAAATGCCGTTTTGGCGCTCTTAGATGTGGCGTGACAGATATCACTGTATGTATGCGGCAGCGCGGAGCGCGATCATCTCTTCCTCAGTTACAGAATAAACATGAATGGACACCCGAAGGTATGTTGAAAGATACAGTATACTTACTGAAAGGCATCATAACTCGTGTAAACACTCAATCAGTGTTTCAACAGCGGAAATACGTCAATAAAACGCTTAGTTTTTCACATAGCTTTATATTTACCTCAGGCAAGTCATTCATAGCTTTATATTTACCTCAGGCAAGTCATTCAGTGTCCACAGCTTGCTGGTTTGCTAACTCTTTCACTAAATAAATGCTATATATTAGCCTATATATTATATTTTACTTAACCTGTTTATGATATCTTGATTATTTAATGTATGTTTAAAATAGTTGTCATGAAAATAACAGCAACTGTGTAAATTATTGTATAACAATAACAAATTAGAGTAAAAACATGTTAATGCAAAAATTGCCTTATGTGCAGTTTACATGTTTTCATACAATTTGTTATTTGAGTGTTGATTATTATTATATCATGTTAAGCTTTAATGTTATAGTAATGTGCAAGTAAGGGCTGTAGTTTACAGCATTAGCAGATCATTTTGTTATCCTTGAGAAACGTTTACTTTTAATTGAATTAATTTAAAGACAAGGACACAATTTGTTCATTAAAGCACTGTTTAATAAAAAATAAAAGCAATTTTAGCTTTCTAAACCCCCCCACCCCACCGAAATGAACCGAACCGAGACCTCAAAACCGTGGGACGAACCGAACCGTCAGGTTTGTGTATCGTTACACCCCTACTAAGTTCTCACTAGAAATGATATCAAAAGCGGAAAAAGTTAGCCAAAAATGTTTTCGTTCCTATTTTGTTTTAGTTGTTCTTGTTGCTTTTCTGCAACAGATGAATAAAAATCAATTAGTTTTTATGTTTTATTCATAGATATTTATAGTTTGCGGGAGTCCCGCAAATCGTTTTATTCTCCCGCAACGCGGACACACAGAGTGAGTGCATTATACCGCCTGCGCCCGCACTCGCACTCGGCCATCTAGTCCCACGCTGCACTCTATTGCGTTGGGAGTGCACGTCTCTAGATCAAGGGCCCGGCCCGAGGATAGTGTCGGGAAATATCGTCTGTATGTATCTACTTATACTGAGCAATGGTGCAAACTGCCCTCTTCACATATGACTGGGTACTTTCTGCCACGGACTTGCAGTAAAAGGCATTTTGGTTGACTACCTTATATGCCTGCCAACACCTCTATCTATGTGTGTGTCTATCAGTCTATAAATAGCCCTGAAAGACAGACCGAGTATCTTATATATATATATATATATATATATATATATATATATATATATATATATATATATATATATAGACAGCCCTAGTTTTAATGACGAAGCAAATAGAAACTAAATAGTTCACCTAATTTTGAGCTCAGCTGTCTGACGTGTTTGACAGCATAGTATGCTTCGCCAGCGCTAACAGGTGTCAACACTGTCAACAAGCGCTGCATGAGAGCAGGGTTTGACATCATGGGTTTAAAACATCTCCACACCTATTATAGCCCTGTCAATCACCGACAGACCTTGTCGCTTTTAATGAACTTTAAACTGCGTGACATTGGAAAAGCTGTCACCTGTTACAACAAGTTTACTGCTTCCTGTATAAAAGACGTACTTGATTGTATGTTATATATGAAGCTCAAAGCGTATCTTTATATTTCAGGATCCAAGCAAAGAATGTGAGCCGTACCGCGTTAATGAAAAGCCAATAGCCCCGTGTGGAGCCATTGCTAACAGCATGTTTAATGGTAAGACCTGGATCTGAATACTTGCCATCGTGCGAGACTATTTCCTCAAGAGTTTTAATATCGATTGTCTCTTACACTCTTTGCTTCAGACACACTGGACTTGTTTTACATTGATCCCAATGGAACAAAAACCCAAATTCCACTGATCAAAAAAGGGATCGCATGGTGGACGGACAAACATGTGAAGTTCAGAAATCCTGCTGGCAGTAATCTTACTGCTGTTTTTATTGGTATAATTCTATATATAGACTTGCATGTATACTGGGATGAATTGGCATATGTGTTGTCCATATCTCGAACTAAAACTCTCCTCATCTTCCAGACACAGCGAAGCCGGTCAACTGGCGCAAGCCTGTTTATGAGCTAGACACTGACTCAGAAAACAACGGCTTCATAAATGAGGATTTCATTGTATGGATGCGTACGGCTGCTCTGCCCACCTTCAGAAAGCTCTACCGCATCATCCAGAAGAAGAACAACATGACACCCACACTGCCCAGAGGAAACTACACCCTGGAAGTCACCTACAGTATCCTTGCATTGCTTGCCTTTAAAACGTGAAGCTCTGCTGTGGTGTGTGTGTGTGTGTGTGTGTGTGTGTGTGTATGTGTGTGTGTGAGAGATATATAGACTTACACGTATAGAGAGAGAGAGAGAGAGAGAGAGAGAGAGAGAGAGAGAGAGAGAGAGAGAGAGAGAGAGAGAGAGAGAGAGAGAGAGAGAGAGAGAGAGAGAGAGAGAGAGAGAGAGAGAGAGAGAGAGAGAGAGAGAGAGAGAGAGAGAGAGAGAGAGAGAGAGAGAGAGAGAGAGAGAGAGAGAGAGAGAGAGAGAGAGAGAGAGAGAGAGAGAGAGAGAGAGAGAGAGAGAGAGAGAGAGAGAGAGAGAGAGAGAGAGAGAGAGAGAGTGTATAGTAAAATGAACAAGAAATCTTTCCGATTCTGCACAAGATCAACAATATCAAATCATACTCTGATAGCTTTTCATTGAAATTGCTATGCTAATCATATTATTTGTAATTAAAATTAAGCATTTTCACTATCGGTCTTTGACTTTGGTAAGTATACACTACCGTTCAAAAGTTTGGGGTTAGAAAGATTTTTCTTTTGAATTAAATTAATACTTTTATTCAGCAAGGATCCATTAAATTGATAAAAAATGACAGAAAATATATATATTTTTTATAAGTATTATGTATTTTCTCCCTTGCAGTCAATAATTGTACCCCTTAAAGGGGGGGTGAAATGCTATTTCATGCATAGTGAGTTTTTTTACACTGTTAAAGAGTTGGATTCCCATGCTAAACATGGACAAAGTTTCAAAAATTAAGTTGTACGTTTGATTGAGTATTTCTGTTCTCAAAATACTCCTTCCTGGTTGTCACAAGTTTCGGAAAGTTTTTTTCAAGTGTGACGTCAGATGCGCCGGAATTTCCTTATACGGTCCTAAGGGCACTTCTCTCGGAAGGGCGCGTGCGCAGCTGTAGAGCGATAGCCGTTACCGTAACCTATGCCCATCAAAGCGCTGTGTATCGGCTGCACTCAAGTATGTCACCAAAGAAGTGTGTTTTCGGTTGCCAAGGCAAGACAACACTGCACAGATTCCCAAAGAATCAAGCGTTAAGGGACCAGTGGATGGAGTTTGTTTTTCCAGAACATCAACACAGTTGTGCAAGTGTTCTTGTTTGTTCCATGCATTTCGAGGATGATTTTTTTTATAAACAAGGCCCAGTTCGAAGCCGGATTTGCTAATCGTTTAGTTCTCAAGGATAGAGCAGTCCCAACACTAAAGGTTAACGGTCTTGCGTTGGAACCGCAGGCGGTGAGTAGAACTGCTTCAAATATCTGTGTGTGTATCGGCGTCTAAGCTCCGCCCACACGGCACGCCTCCACCCGCTCGGCTTTTTCCGGAAAGACTCGGTACAGCCTATCTTTCTTTTATAAATAATAAAACTAAAGACTTTTTGGAGATATGATGGATGCAATATTACTCTATAGTAGGGGTGTAACGATATTTGAACCGAACCGAAAAACCGCGATACACCACCCACGATACGTATCGCGATACTCTCATGGCGAACCGAACACGCCCCGCCCCCTGCTGCCCCGCCCAGCCCCGGCTCATTGCACCTCATGTGTTATGTGTACACAACGAATACAGGGCTGTTGCCTAACCACCATTAACCACATATAATCGCGATAAGCTCAGTGTTTTGTTACTTTTGACAATAAGCAAGGTGTAATCTTTCAAATTATGTCTATTTGATCACGAAATGCAAACAATAAATGCCGTTTTGGCGCTCTTAGATGTGGCGTGACAGATATCACTGTATGCATGCGGCAGCGCGGAGCGCGATCATCTCTTCCTCAGTTACAGAATAAACATGAATGGACACCCGAAGGTATGTTGAAAGATACAGTATACTTACTGAAAGGCATCATAACTCGTGTAAACACTCAATCAGTGTTTCAACAGCGGAAATACGTCAATAAAACGCTTAGTTTTTCACATAGCTTTATATTTACCTCAGGCAAGTCATTCAGTGTCCACAGCTTGCTGGTTTGCTAACTCTTTCACTAAATAAATGCTATATATTAGCCTATATATTATATTTTACTTAACCTGTTTATGATGTCTTGATTATTTAATGTATGTTTAAAATAGTTGTCAAGAAAATAACAGCAACTGTGTAAATTATTATATGACAATAACAAATTAGAGTAAAAACATGTTAATGCAAAAATTGCCTTATGTGCAGTTTACATGTTTTCATACAATTTGTTATTTGAGTGTTGATTATTATTATTATTATATAATTTAGGTTAAAAGTCTAGGCTCTGTTGTTAAGCTTTAATGTTATAGTAATGTGCAAGTAAGGGCTGTAGTTTACAGCATTAGCAGATAATTTTGTTATCCTTGAGAAACGTTTACTTGTAATTGAATTAATTTAAAGACAAGGACACAATTTGTTCATTAAAGCACTGTTTAATAAAAAATAAAAGCAATTTTAGCTTTCTAAACCCCCCCACCCCACCGAAATGAACCGAACCGAACCGAGACCTCAAAACCGTGGGACGAACCGAACCGTCAGGTTTGTGTATCGTTACACCCCTACTCTATAGGTACTCAAGATTAACATGAGATTGACCCCCCCCCCCCCCTTTAAACTCATCTTTGATAATCAAAATTACATACTGAAATGTTTTTTTCCTGTGAAAATATTTTCTTCATGCCTTAAAATAACTTGAATGTAACTTTACACCCTTGCTTCATTTAGTATTCGTGGATCCATGAATATGCACATTAGCCATCTCACTCCCTCCAGCTCAGAATAGCTACCTGATCCACTCGGTCAACTGTAGTAAACGCTACGGCTACACAGTGGCAAGAGGAAATATTGGTTTAGTTCAGCCAAAATGATTTGGGAGAATCCTTTGACCGGATTGGTTACAGGTTTGTGACGTTAGGAAACTTGGGCGGTTTTAAACTGCGTTTTTGTCTTTGGTACCAATGGTGTTGGTTGACTGTTTTAAGAACACCACATAGACAATAAAAAACTTGATTTTCACCACAGGGGGTCTTTAATAACTTCTGAATTGACATTGTTTCCTCAACCACTTGCCCCTCAGACTACCCCGTCCGCAGCTTTGAGGGCCGGAAGCGTATGATCCTCAGCACCATCTCCTGGATGGGAGGGAAAAACCCCTTCTTGGGCATCGCCTACATAACGGTGGGCTCCATCTGCTTCTTCCTCGGCGTGGTGCTCCTCTTCATTCATCACAAATACGGAAACCGCAATAACAGCTCTGATATTCCCAATTAAGCGTGTGGAGTGCATGCGTTCTGTCAGGCGTTTAAATGGCATGCTTCGATTCTAGTTTATCATTTTAATGGTGCAAGACAGCATTTGACCACTTGATGTTCAGCTTATTTATTTCTGTCCACTTCAAAGTTTTATTTTTTAATTTTTATTCTTTCTGATGATGGTTGATGGTTCATTTCAAGCATGATTTGACCGTCGATTTGCACATGTCTAAGCCTGAGGTTAGCGTGATATTTATGGAAGCTTGTTTCCACCACGTAATAAAAACGGTTATTGCAATTTTTATCTCATAATTCTGACTACTTTTTTACTGCGAATTAGAGATATAAACTCGAAAAAATGTCGCAATTACCTATTTCATTTCCTGGTGGAAACGAGCTTCCGTACATATTCCAAGATAGATCCGATACAAAGTCAAAGTTGTATAAATTGAAATGAATGTATGTTTGTATTTCATAGAAATGGCTTTTACTTTTAGCCAAAAGTGATGTTTAAACAGGGCATTTGTAATATGACTACTTTATTTTTTAAGTTTAATATAAAAAGAATAGTTTTACTTTTCCTCTGAGGTTCATAAAGTCAAATACTGAATCAGTGTTTACTTCCAAACTTCTATGTAGTGCCAGATTATGGTAGGGATCATTGACAACTATATCTAATTTTTGAGGACTGTTACATTCTTATTGTTTTCTGGAGATGCTTGTGCTCTTTGCTGTGTGTACTTCAAGGCTTGCAACAAGGACCAAATGTTTGATTCTGTGTCTATTTAATTGAAACAGTCTTGGGCTCATTTTGGATGTCGTGTCTTTTTTAAGTGTTGTTCTGTTTTAAGCATGTCTGCCTCTAACAAATAAGCACTTTAATGTGACAAGCCATACATTTTTGGTCAGTTTTTAGGAGTGTGTGCTGCGTTGTTGGGCGAATAAAATGTCTAATTACTGAACTTCCTGAGAATTTCTCATTATTATGTGTTAAAGTAAACATTGCATTCTTTATCTGCTGGACTGGAGGCATTGCCAAATGAAGATAAGCTGAAGACTGAATTAACAAGTTAACATGTTAAATCAATACAGGCAAAAATCACTTTTTAATCCTCTTGTAAGTTTGGATGAGAGTCAGCTTTTATTTTATTTCTAAGCAATTGACAGTCTAACCCATACTGTAAACATTGATCAGTTGACGACTTCAAGTAAATAAACTTCGTAAAATGCGTAATTGAAAAAATTAAGTTATGTGGAATTTTTTTAAGTTGTCAACTGATAGCTTTTTACAGTGCAACACTACAATAAAACAATTTTGAAAGTTTAGTTCAACCTAGAAAAGAAAAAAATACTGTATATATAATTTTTTTTATGACAAATATTTAAATATTGCCATAAAATAAAAATAAAAGCATACAGGTTTGGAATGACATGGTGGTGAATAAACAATAATATTTTCTAAACCCTATTTAGTTTTTAAAATGCATTCAGTCCATATGGAGATCAATTAATCCTTTGCAAATGATGAAAATAGTTTGCAACTCGTACAGTAAAAACAGGTTATCTTGAGTGTTATTTTAAAGGACGCTTCATTGTTCTCTAATTAAATGTTTTTTTTTTTAGACATTCCCCAGTACATGATAATGTTGTTTTTTTTAGACATTTGTGAGGCTAGCTGATTGTCAAAAAGTCACTGTTAAGAAAGCATGTGATGAATAAATTAAAATAGCTCTGCTTTATACGTCTTTCTATCAAAAAGTAGAACTAGTTCCTCTTCTTTTGTGATAGATGAGACTCTGAATAAGGTGAATAGATATACAACTTAAGCAGCACTGAAAGAGCTATTTTTCATTCATTCGTTTCCTTTATTAGTCTTCAAAACGAAAACATTAAACCCAAAGTGGATCAGTAAAAAGGACCAGCAGTCGAGGTATCTAAAGCTGTGAATAATCTGATAGCCTCTGGCTTCTTCATTACACCAGAAGCAACATCTGTTCTCTCCTGCTGTTGGGATGTTGGACTGCCTGAAAGACCGGCGCTCGAATAGGCCCAGAGGAAAAGTGCTGGAGTAACAAACTGCTTCCCAACCCCAGAGCGCTCTTTCACTCCCTCTCACACCACCAGACCACGGCTGTCCTCACACACAACATGAGGACCGATTGAGATGTTCTGCTGTGAGATAATGATGAGCACCACAGCTCATGTGACTTGAACGCTGTGTTCCTGTTTCTCTGTTCTGTCAATTAGCGACAGACTTTTTTAAAAGAAAGTTCAGTTGATGATCTTGGGTGTCAGAGAGAGTGAGACTTCCCAGAAGATGTATAGGTAGTCTGTTTTGAAAATGTACATAAGTCTGTGCTGTGCCTCTATGGGTCCTATTATACAGGCGCGACGCATTGTTTTTTTGCTAGTTTCAGCCTGACGCTATTATCATTTTCACGTCCTGCGCCACATTGTTTAAATAGCAAATGCATTTGCGCCCATTTGTGCGCCCATGTTCGTGCTGGTCTGGAAACGAGGTGTGTTCGGGCGCTTTGATGGCGCGTTGCTATTTTGAGGAAACTGGAACCTGGTCTAAAGTCAATGGAGCAGTATTTTTTTTTTGTTATTTAAAGGGCGCATTAGTAATATGCCTTTAGGCGGGTGCACAATGCATGTACACTCTGCTTATTACACACACAGGGACACAGCAGCACACAAACATGCCAAAAATAAAAGGATTACAATGTAAAAGATTATTATTGTGTACATAAAGATATGGTGGAATCCAGCTTGTCCCGTGTAGATGGTCTGCTTGCGAGCTTTAATGTCCCCATGAATTCAAAATTGACCATACTTACTTTGTTTGCCTAAATTGATCGTTTTGTGGTGAACAATTCATCCATGCAAGTCAATCCACACAAAAAAAATTTTGGGCTTCGTAATCTTTAATCAAAATCTGAAATTTCCCCTCCCCTCTGCATTGGAGGACCTTCCTTGATGACGTAGGTTTGACGGTTTGGGCGTCTGCTTAACATCCGTAACCACGCCCCTCCAGACAGGCTGAATGACAACACCTACTTTTCTAGATCCAATCAGGTGCTAGTTGGAAAAAAAGCCACGCCCACTATTTTGCCTCATTTAGTATTCCGTTTCTCTCGGAAATACGTCACAACACTGGAGAAAAGTCGTTTGCAACTTCCGGTTCACGGGGACTTTAACCTCGCGCACGAGCAGATCCATTTCCTCTCTAAAGATGTGTCTTTCCGCTTGCAAACTCTGCCATGTAAATAGTGAATCTGCACGGCGCGAGCGCAACGGGCTTTTAAAGGGAATGGGAGATGAGACTCTGATTGGTTTATTGCACGTTACGCCCAAAACACACCCATTACTCATTAAGAGAATAGGGACAACCCTTTTAGACTATGCGCCGCGCGCGCCGACCATTTTTACCGTTGTTAAACTAGCAAAAGTGGATTCGGACACTCCCTAAATTCACTTGCGCCGTGCCGCTTAGATCAATAAATAGGGCCCTATGTCTGTCAGATCTTCCATCTGCTGATGTTACCTACACCGCTCTGAAAATTGCCTACCCTTCCTTTAAGGATGTTTATTGTGTAATTCACGCTAAGTGCATTGACATCATGAGCGTGCTGGAGTGTTGCTAGAGTTACATGGGACGGCCCTGTCTAAATGATTCCTGACGGATAAGGTTAACTCGCTGTAGGAAAACACTGCTCACCTGACTGGGACGCCTTTGCTGCCTTTAGACCTGTCACGCAATGAGGATTAATTGCAGAAGGGCTTTGTTAGCTGTTTCTCCAAACTCATCCATGTGAATGTGTAATCAATGTTGCCCAGAGCAACGCTGGGAGGTTGCCAGAGGGCTCGCCTCCTCACGGGGTAATCCCCTGTTCAGTGAAGGACATGTGTAGAGTACATATGTCTGAACATACAGTGAAGTTCAAAGACAGCACTGAAAATCTGGGATGCCAAATCTAATTTATTCTGTCATTCCAAATCTGTATGCTTTTCTTTCTTCCGTGGAGTACAAAAGAAGATATATTGAAAAACGTTTGTGTTGTGTTTTTGTGTGGTTGTTTTACGTTTTTTTTTTTTTTTTTTTTTTTTTGCTTTGTTATTTGTTTTGGTTTTGTTTTTGTTTTTTTTTGCAAGAAGATGTTTTGAGAAATTTCTCCATGTTTTTTTTTTTTTTTTTTTTTGCAAGAAGATATTTGGAGAAATGTCTCAAGGTTTTTTATTTTGTTTTTGCAAGAAGTTATTTTGAGAAATGTCCCAATGTTTTTTGTTTGTTTTGTTTTGTTTATATAATGCAAGTCAATGGGGTCCAATGTTGTCTGGACCCCACTGACTTTCAAATTATTTTCTTATAATTACAGATTTTTAACCCTAAGCCTACCGTATCATATTTGCCATGCACATTTCTAAGGCCTCTAAGTTATTAACATAATCAAAACTTTGCTGAATATCCTGTCGAAAATCTACTACATGCCTTCTTCGTGATAGCAAAACATTTTTTTTAATTAAACATAATAACTTTTATATTGTTAAAATGAACACTTACTGGACGGAAGCAATTAAGGTTTACTTGATTATCCATACACAATTTTTTTAGAACAATCATGTTAAAATGTGAGTATCAAATATGATACACAGGCGTTTGAGGAACAGTTTTTTGTACATCTCTCAATCATCATTGTAGTGCATTGCGATATATGTTTTACTCCCACAATAAAATTACAGAGCTTTGATCATAAACCCAAGAATGTAAATATTATCTTACTGAGACATTATTTAGGGGTATAGAGTAGTAGTCTACACTGTTATAAGATTTCATTGATTTACATTACAAGATATCAGAATTTAATTTGACTTTTTGCCCATATAAATATCAGCATCTGCACAAAATTATACATATGTTGGGCCTCTAAATAAAATTGAGGTGTTTTTTCCCCTCCTCGAGTATATGCGCACCATACGAGCAATAAAAACCTGATGTGTCAATGGGGGAAAAAAAACATATGCAAACTTTTTTTTAATAATTTGTCTTAAGGCTTAAGGCTGTTCCATAAATTTTTTTTTTTTTTTTTTTTTTTACTATTATTTCATATGTTAGCCCTAGCAACCAC